ATGTCTCAAAAAAATGCTAAAAAATTCATATGGGTACAGTGTTGCATGACCGCGCAATTGTCACTCAAAGTGTGATAGCACTGAAAGCTGAAAATTGGCCTGGACAGGAAGGGGGTAAAAGTAGCTGCTGTGTGGAGGGGGGTGTGCCCCTTTCCTCCAATCAGCTCTAACTGCAGCTCCCTGCCCCCTCCTCTGTGTTCTGAGAAATGCAGAAGGATTTTACCTAAAATCAGCACTTTGAACTGCTTTCCAACTGCACTATAGCCGAAAGACGGCTACAGTGTGGTTGTCCAGTTCTGGGAGGGTGTCCATGGACGTCCCCCCCCAGCAGCAATCACCCAGCACTGTTGGTGATCGCTATGTCCTAGGGACACAACTGATCACGTGATAAGGTAAAAGGCCGATCACAGCGGCCTTTTACCACGTGATCAGCTGTATCTAATCACATAGCAGATTACATTGTAAATACAGTTGCCAGTTATCGGTTGCACTTTCCTCATGCTGTGACAGCGTGAGTAAAGTACTGCCGATAATCGGCAAATGTGATGGGAGATCTGCACTAATGGGCACTGATTATTAGTGTTGCCCAGTCAGTGCTATCAGTAAGTGCCGCCTATCAGTGCCCACCAGTGCTGCCTCATCAGCACTACTTATCAGTGCTGTCCCATCAGTGCTGACTTTCAATGCACATCAGTAAAGGAGAAAAATTACCTGTTTACAAAATTTTATAATGGAAACAAAGAAAACCTTTTGTTTTTCCTAATTTTTTTTGAATTTTCATTTACAGTGCAAAAAATAAAACCCCCAGTGGCGATTAAATACCACCACAAGAAAGCTCTATTTTTCTGAGAAAAACTATACAAATTTCATATGGGTACAATGTTGCATGACCGTGCAATTGTCATTCAAAGTGCAACAGCGCTGAAAGCTGAAAATTGGCCTGGGCAGGAAGGGGGTAAAAGTACCCAGGAGGCAAGTGGTTGTAAACCCTCTCATGAACCCAGTGGAGTAAAAAGCCTCAAATGATACACAGAGGTGAAACAAAGAATATATTGCGCCAATGATACCAACAGTGCATTGTTTACTCTCACTGACACCAGGACTTCTACCCCCAAACATGTTTTATAATAGTTATAGTTAGGGATACACCGAAATTTCGGTGGCCAAACTGTTTCAATTGAAAACAACCCTTTCCGCCATTTACCGAAATGAAAAAAAGCACTGATACAGGTGCCCAAAAAAACCCCGCCCCTCGCCGCCGCTCGGTAGTTCCAATCCTTACCGGAGAAACCATCGATCCCAGCGCTGGGCATAGAGATGAGTGAAAGAAAGATGGCCACCACTCATCTCTATGTCCTTGGAGCGCTGGAGCAATGTCGCTTCCCATTCCAGCCATTTTTTTTTATTTGAAGCACTAGAGCAATGCTTTTTTTTTTGCCAATGCTTTACATTGCAGAGGAGAGATGTGGGTTCCTATTGACCCCATATCTCTCCATAAAGAAGACCTGTCACTAATTATTTCTATCACAAGGGATGAATGCATTTCAAAAAAGGGGACAGTGCAAAAAAAAAAGAAACATTAAGTAAATTAAAAAAAAAAAAAAAAAAAAAAGTTTAAAGTGCCCCCATCCCCCTGTGCTCACACGTAGTGGTGAACGAATACGTAGGCCACGCCCACATATGTAAATGGTTTCAAACCACACACGTGAGGTATCACCATGAGCGTTAGAGCAAGAGCAATAAATCTCGCACTAGACCTCCTGTAACTTTACACTGCTAACCTAAGGAAATTTTTTAAACATCACAAATGGAGATTTTTAAGTACCGCAGTTTCCCATCATTCCAAGCGCGTGCGCAATTTTAAAGCGTGACATGTTGGGTATCTATTTACTCGCCGTAACATCCTCTTTCATATTTTACAAAAAAAAAATTGGGGTATATAGCTTTTTTTAATCAATGTATTTTTTTTTAAATATATATATTCATTTTTAAAAACTGCGCACTTCGGTTTTCGGCCAAGTGCATTTTGAATATTTGGTTTCGGCACCAGAATTTTCATTTCGGTGCACCACTAGTTATAGTTAGGCTTTGCTCTCACATTAAAGACATGACGATGGCCTTACTGACTGGTTGATAGACTCTGAAGATCGACTTTTATAGACATGATTTAAGCATAGCTGCAGTTGGCCATATGGGCTCTTTCATATAGGCGTTGAAAATTGGAGGCTGAGTCTTGTTTTTAACACTTCCCAAAGGCCTATCAATGCCACTCAAAGTTGGTAAAATTGGGAGCAGTTGGAGACGTTCACACTGCAGCGTCAGCACTGTCTTGCTTTTCAGTGAGGCAAAAATAATGCTGCCTGCAGTGTTTGGCTAGTTTTAATGCTTTGCAACTGCCTCCATTTACTTCTATTGAAACACAACACAAGTGCACTGTAATCGTGCCTAAGGCATTTATGGTGTGGTTCTATTGTTGTTTTTGGGCAATACATCTCTTTCCCATACAAGATTGATGTCCCTTATTGATACATTTGGATCCTTTTCCAGTTTTAAGATTAATTGGGATAAATCCACCCTGTTACCCTTAGATCCGATTCCAACTTCCCTACCACAGGTTGCGTCCCAGATTCAGGTGGTAAACTCCTTCCATTACTTGGGAATTCATGTGCATCCTACTCTGTCTAAATATGTCCAGCTTAACCTCCATCGTCTCCTCAAGTTTAGGCAGAAAACAGTCAGTTAGAACAAACTTACCGCTTTCGGTGGTTGGTAGGTGTAACCTAATAAAAATGATTTGGGCCCGTCAGTTGCTATATGTCTTGCATAATGCGCCACATTGGATTCCTATGTATGTTTGTTTTTAAGCAGTTTGATACTGTGTGTCGCTCTTTGATTTGGAAAAAGCACTCACCTCGTATAAAATTGGAAACTTTGCGGGAATATAGAGAGGCTAGGGGATTGGCGGTGCCTAATCCATTTTATTATTCTATTCTATGGCTGCGCAACTTCAACATCTTACTGCCTGGCAGGATGGTGATCATGTTGACACCATTAGGCCGCTCCTAGTGGGTGTTTTATCCAATGATAATTTGATAGAATGTCTGGAAGCGGGTGAGTTTAGAACTATGTCCCAATACCCTCCTTAGCATTGATTGATAGAATTTGGTTTAAAGCTAAACGTCTTTTCCATTATTCAGGTTATACTTCATTCATTTGTAACTTCTATAATACTAACTACTCTGAGTTGCAGAAGTTGCAGGGTTGTGCTGGTTGGATGATGTTGCGAATTAGATATATACCACAACTGTATCATGGTCAGTTGTTGAAAGATTTTCGTACCTTGCAGCTCGAATATGACTTGCCTAAACAGTTTTTTTTTTTTTTTTCTTTTCAGTACCTGCAGCTTAGACATGCTATTTCTGCACAATCTAAAACCTCTTCATAGTCATTTACTGAACCGGCAGTACTTAATCAAACTATATCCTCGACCACATGAAAGGGTCAAATATCTTCAATGTACCAATCCCTTATGCACAGTGTTTCTAAGGCAATGTCCCTCAATGTTAGAGCACAGTGGTCGGTTGATTTAGATACTATCTCAGACGAGGAATGGTCCACCATATTAGAAAATGTAATCAAAGTCTTTGTCTTCATCCCAGAAGCTTACCCAACTTTTTATCATCCACCGTACTCACCGCACTCCTCAGCGGTTGTATGATTGGAGTAGGAGGGACTCTCCTCTCTGTCCTAGGTGTGAAATTAATAATGGCACCCTTATTCATATGTTATGCAAATGCCCCAAATTGGTAAGATATTGGTCTCATATTATAACATTGATCAACAAGACCTGGAGTCTTAATTTACCATTAGATCCCAAGATCTGCCTATTGGGAGCTATAAATGAGGAGTTATACACTACACATGTCTATATAGCCATCCTCCACGTGCTGTTTGTTGCTCAGAAGCTAATAGCTCAGAAATGGTTGTCTCCCACCCCTCCTTCCCATATCCAATGGATTAAAGCTGTTAATGATACCCTAATTAGAGAGAAATTAGTTTATCAACATAGAGGATGTGCCCGGAAATGTACGACCATATACGATGCCTGGTTGGGTACACTGGGATTAGCACCAACCCTATTAGTTAAGGATAGACTGTTAAGTGGCCGAGTCTCTTCAGGTCTGCTTTGACATAAGTAGTGTACCATCAGCTCCTGGATAGGTATTAGGGACAAATAAATATGTGCTAAAAATTTGCTTTTGGCAAGGACTAAATTTCTATTTACTGCATTACATATGGATAGGCTGAGGCAGCTTGACTTTTTGATTTTTTTGAGTTTAGTATGGTTGAAGATCATTTTGTATTTTGTGCTTATTCTTCTTGCCTTTTTGTTTGTTTTGAAGCTTAAAAAAAAAAAAGTGAAGAAGCATTGTATGGAAAATGTTGTGGTTTGAGATCTGTACTTATATCTCTTGTATACATAGATATGTACCCCTTTTGTATTGCAATGCTGTAAACTATTGTTACCAGTACTACACCCTCTTGGAGATTGGGGTTATATGATTGTATGTGTACATGGATCCAAACTTCAATAAAAAAAAGATCTGATTTTTTTTTTTTTTTTTTTTTTTTTTTTTTTTTTTTTAAAGGTGTGATTGCAAAGTGTTAGAAGTGATCAATTCCCATTTTAGCCTTGTACATAGCAAAAACACATCTCACAGGGTGAATAAGGAGTGTTGACTGACACAATCTGAATGCCTGTACAACAGATCCAAAATGGTCATTAACACTAACACTATAGTTGCATTTATGCTTTAAGGCTGCTTTAGAATTCAACGCTTGTCTGAAAAAGCCCCATCTCTGGATCTACTGTTCATTTTGACACATGATTTTCACTCACATTAACTGCTCGTGTATTTTTTCCAATCCCTATACATGATTAATATTTGGCAGTTTCATTGAAGCATAACTTTTCTGTTTTTTTTTTCCTTTTTCTTTTTATAGGAGGTCACATGTGGATATGTCTTCACCTGTAATTCGGGAGGCAGAGATCTCCAGAACAGCCCGGCGACAAAGTTCCCATCAGAGAGCAACCAGTATCCTTTATTCTGTCTGTTTTCTCAACTCTCTTCCCCTTCCCTTAATCAGAGATCCCAGTATCCTTTTATTCTTGAAGATGCTTAGGAAATATGTGCTCTGCCTGTGCTGACCTTTCTCTAAAAATGCTAGCTCTGTGACTTTACATATTTGCTAAGTCACTAGCCCAAAAAACCTATACAGCAAGTAAGGGCCAAAACTCTTGATATGCATGCTTGTTCAGGGTCACTTACAAAGTATTGAAGCCAGAGAATCTGCATGACAGTCAACTAGCATATCCAGAAGGAAAGACAAACAATCGCAGCCAATGTATTTTTCCCATGACAGGTTTACTTTATTCAGTGTATGTCTGTGGACCAGGGGTGGACTGACCATTCGTGAACTCGGGCACTGCCCGAGGTCAGTAGGGGGCCCCATGAGATGCCCCTGGTACCTTTCATAGGCTTTTTTGGGTGTGGTTTAAATGTGGGCGAGGACACAGGGGCCCCATGATCCCCTATTGCCCGGGGGCCCCATGAGTTGTCAGTCCCCCCTGCTGTGGATTGTCTGCGAGATAGTTTAGCAACAATGGAAACATTAACAATATGTTTGCTAAATTGATATAAGGACAGGCCTTGCTTAGTTATACTAGCTGAGGTAAAACAAGTATTGAAAGGAAAAGTAAATGAGCTTAAAAAAAAATTTCATTTATTTGCCTGTAGTTGCCATTGATCAAGGAAGCATCCAAGGCAGTTGTAAAAATGTTGCAAATTTTCCATATACATACACAATAAAGTATTCCAGGAGAAGCAGAGTCTGTTTGTGTTTTTCCACAAATTATGTCTGTAGAAAAACTTGTCTGGATGCCTTTCATGTGAGAGAAAAAAATGAAGTAATATGATGTGAGGCCTGGGAAGCAATGGCATTGTACAGACTTTTGGTCCTCTATATATGTGTATAATCAAGTCAGCAGGGCATTATTATTATTATACAGTATTTATAAAGCGCCAACAGTTCGCTCAGCGCTGTACATTACAATGGGAGACAATACATGCGACAGTACAATAACCATACAATGCGATACACGAGGGGTTCGAGGGCCCTGCTCCTTGGAGCTTACAATCTAGGAGGGAGGGGATAGTGGTACGGGAGGAAAAGCTGTGGGGGATGGAGTGGTAGGAAGAGTGGAGGAGGTCGGCAGTTAGCAGGGGGTGGGGTAGGCTTCCCTGAAGAGGTGGGTTTTCAGGGTGCGCCTAAAGGAGAGGAGAGTAGGTGATAGTCTGATGGATTGGGGTAGGGTGTTCCAGAGGATGACGTCCTGGAGGCGGGCATGGGAGGAGGAGACCAGGGAACTAGAGGGAAGGAGGTCTTGTGAGGAGCGGAGAGTGCGTTTTGGGTGGTATTTTGGTATTAGGTCGGTGATGTAGTTTGGGGTAGTATGATGGACAGCTTTGTACGTCAGTGTTAGGATTTTGAATTTGATCCGTTGGGCAATCGGAATCCAGTGGAGGGATTGGCAGAGGGGGGTGGCGGAAACGGAGCGGTTGGTAAGGTGGATGAGTCAGGCTGCCGTATTCAGGATCGACTGAAGCGGGGATAGCCTGTGGCAAGGCAGGCCAGTGAGGAGGGAGTTGCAGTAATCGAATCGTGATATGATGAGGGAGTGGATGACCTGTTTAGTGGTTTCTGGGGTTAGGAATGGACGTATTTTGGCGATGTTGCGGAGGTGGAGTCTGCATGAGTTTGTTAGTGATTGGACTTGGGGCTGGAAGGATGGATTGGAGTCAAGAATGACACCAAGTACTCTGGCCTGCGGGGCGGGCCTGATGGTGGCATTGTTGGACGTGACGGAGAAGTCAGTAGGGGGTGGTGTGCAGGCTGGGGGGAAGTCTAGCAGCTCAGTTTTGGAGAGGTTCAGTTTAAGGAAGTGGAGCGACATCCAATCTGATATGTCGCTCAGTAGGTGTGTGATTCGGGTGGAGACTGAGGGGGTGAGGCGAGGGGTCGAGAGATAGATTTGTGTATCGTCGGCATAGAGGAGGTAGTTGAAGCCGTGAGAGTGTATGAGTTGGCCAAGGGAGCAGGTGTAGATGGAGAAGAGAAGGGGCCCGAGGACAGAGCCTTGAGGGACCCCAAAAGAGGGGGAGTGAGGGGGAGGTGGTAGCGTTATAGGCATAGAGTGGGTTCACCCAGTCAGGTGCCGTTTAACTGCTTTCCAACTGCCCTATAGCAGATATACTGCTACAGGGCAGCAGGGGTGCGCAAAATCACGTGTATATATATGTGATTTTGTATTACTGTGAAGGGAGTGCGCACCCCTACCCTTGCTGCCATTTGGTCAATCACCGGGTCCCGGCCGGTGAATCCCTGCCGGTGCCCGGTGATTACCGAGCATCTCCGACGGGGGGAGGACTGCTTTGTTTACTAACAGTCCTCCTCCCTGTCCGCTCGGGCATACAGCTCTGGATGGCTGTGCGCAGCACAGCCATCAAGAGTAGTGTACTTACAGTGAAGCACCAACACACTGCCCCCCAAGTAAAACACTCCCAGCACACAGTTAACCCTTTGATCGCCCCCTCATGTTAACCCCTTTCTGCCCAGTGCCATTAGTAGTGTCAGTGCTTTTTTTTTTTTTTTTTTTTTTTTTTTTTTTTTAGAGCACTGATCCCTGTATTGGTGACATTGGGGATGCCAGTGACACCAAGTCAGTCCCCCCCCCCCCCAGTGTCAGAATGCCCGCCGCAGTCCCGCTGTAAGTCTCTGATCGCTGCCCTTACTAGTAAAAAAAAAAACATTATTCCCGTATATATACCGCCATTGTAAACGCTATAACTTTCACGTAAACCAATTAATTTACACGTATTAGATTTTTTTTTTAGCAAAGACGTAGCCGAATACATTTTGGTGTAAATTTATGACGAAATTTGATTTTTTTTAAAAATATTTACTGGACATGTTTAATAGCAAAAAGTAAAAAATATTGTTTTTATTTCTCAAAATTGTCAGTCTTTTTTTTTTTTTTTTTTATTATAGCGCAAAAAATAAAAAACCGTACAAGTGATCAAATACCACCAAAAGAAAGCTCAATTTGTGGAGAAAAAAAAGGACGTAAATTTCATTTGGGTGCAGCATTGCATGACCGCGCAATTGTCAGTTAAAGTAACGCAGCGCCTTAATGCAAAAAATGGCCTGGTCAGGAAGGGGGGTAAATCCTCAGGAGGGCAAGTGGTTAAAGAATAACATTTTTGGATATTGGGTTTTTTCCTTAGTGTAAACACAGCAGGTGACAACTGGACTGGTTCCAATCCAAAGACTGTTCCTAGGACTCCTGGATCCCTCTTGCGGCATCAGAGTAAGATTCATCACAGTAGCCTTTAAGTATAATAATGCAAACACTCTGTCCTTTTTTTTTTTTTTTTTTTTTTTTCTGCCTTAAGGCCCATGACACACTTGCAATTTTTAGTAGCTACAGAATCTATTTTAGCATTTTTGTTGCAAGTTTCAAATGCATTACAGCCAGTGAAATGTCAGTGTCTCAGAAATTCCAAGTGATTTGTAGTGCAGCCACTAAAGGTTTTTTTTTTTTTTTTTTTTTTTTTTTTTTTTTTTTTTTTTGCAGAGCTGGCTCCAAAATTGCCAGCCTAAGCTACTAACTGTATCCAATGAATTTGATAATGGTCATAGCATACTAGTGATTTGCAGTTACCTAGAGCAGCATTGTAATCAGTAGCAGCATTAGGGCATGTGTTGACCTGCTTTTGGCGGTCAGCAATATAAACCACTAGGGATTTACTCATTCCTTTTACTTGTTTATATGAAGGTTAGCTTTACATTTTCATTCCTTTTATAGGTTTGTTCTTTAACTTTTTCATCTCTTACAATGCGTATTAAAAAAAGGGGATATGCTTTTGAAACTGTTGCAGGCTGAGAAGCAGTCAGTTTTTTATGTCACTCTTCCAAAGGGTGTGTTATTTTAGGATATGCTTGTGCACTTTTTGCTATGTTGGGTGAATAATTAGAAAAACATGTTTTTACTATAATGCAGTATCTACAAAAATAATAACATGCTGTTAATTCATTAAAAAGGAATGCAGAGTTTTTTTAGCATCAGTGTATTCTTTATAGTTTTCAGATAGCTGTTCTGACGTTTTTTCTGCTTTAAATTTTGGGTAGAAAAAAAAGCAAAGGCTAGATTTGAGAGATCTTCAGAGCAGAACACGACAACATGCTGAACATTTGTTCTTACGGCATAGATGTTTTACCTAATTGTCTTCCAGGACAGCTACCTGAAATGACTAGCTGTCTTCAATAGGAAACACAAACCAAATAGAGTTAAAAAGCTTCTCCAACCCCCTTGTCCTCAGTGCCATTTGTTATTCTGACAATCCAAGAGCACACATTGTAGCGTTTTTGTTTTGTTGTTTCTCTGGGTCTAGTGCTTGAGGTCATCGCTCTTCCTCAGTGTAGTTTGGTTCCGGTCTCTAAGCTGTGTCATTCCCTCTTTTTCTGAAGGTTTCCCTTTTATCCAAGCTAGACCTTGGCACAGTGAAGTGTTGGGGTCAACTCCGGCGGCCTTGTTGGCTGTGCCCCACATGTTCCTCTGGCCTATGATCTGTGGCCAGAGTAACAAGGAAGTGCATTTTACCTGCCTTTTGGAGTAGTTTGGAGCTTTCTGATTGGTGGTCCAGTAAGTTGGGCAAATCAATTTTGGCTTGTGCTTAGTTTAAGCATGCATATCTCTTCTTTTTTAGACTAAGCTGGGCATTAAAGCTGGTAAGCCTAAGAAAGTGTGGAACGTATAGTTCCAAGCTCTCATGCTAGTATAGTTATGGTTTTATGTGAAGAACATACTGTATCATGTTCTCAGCAAGATCAGAGGCCCTGGCCTGCCCTGGGCCTCCCCCACCCCTGGCGGCAGCACCCAGGTCTTGCCCCCCTTTTTTCACTTGTGAACCCAGCACTGCCTCTCAGATGAAAGGCCTTTTTAAATTCAGACTCGAATTGCATAGCTTCATTTGTGTGCTCACATTTGAAGGAGGGACAGGTCATTCTGCAAGTTCTAGAGGACCAGCTATTTCAGGGATTTTACTCCCTTGTTCTCATCCAAAACCCATCTGAGAAATTTTATAGGTATTTTGAAAAAATGGAACAAGTTCTTCCTGTCCAGGATACTTCACATGGAAAGCATTTGTTCAGTGAGATATCTTCTGTTTCATGGGGCCTTCATGGACTGTTTGCAGGACACCTACCTGCATGTACCAATTCATCTATTTTCATCATTCACTGTTTTCATAGGTTTGCAGTTCATACATAAAAGGGCATGTGACACTGGTAGTTTAAGATTCTTCCCTTCAATCTTTTGGTGGCTCAGCTGTGTTTTTTTTTTTTTTTTTGTTTTTTATTCCTTTAGAATATATCAATTGGCCTGTATTTAGACAAGTTTATTGTATTCTTCCAAGACAGGGAAAAGTAAAGTTCTGATCTCTGCCTAGTTCTCCAAAATTTTCAGAGATTTGAATGCAAGGTCAAAGTGGAGAACTCAGCCTGAGGCTGTTTGTAATTTGTTTTAAGTTACAGGCACCATGATATAAGGTGCAATTTCAGTGGTAGTGTGATCCAGCTCCATTCCAGAAGGCCACAAAGTTGTTGTTTTTTTTTTTTTTTTTCTAGTGGATTTATTTTTCATCCATATTCCAAGTACAGAGAATTTCTTACTATAGGAAAGGCATTATTTAGGAAGAATGTAGCAGTTGTCTCTCAAGCAATGATACAACACAAGCATATAACAAGATAGGGAAACAAAGAAACAGTGCCTCTAAGTGTTTACTGCGAAGATAATTTAATAGGAAGATAAGTAGTAACTCACATCTTAGAATTTAAAAGCATTCTCATTGATAAGAGGGTGAGACGTCTATAGCCAGATGTTGGGTGACTGATCCAGAGAGGAGATCAAATTGGGTCCCCCAGCAGATGAAAGAGCGCACTGGACTCCGCTCGTCCCGCGCATGCTCAGAAACGCGTCGCACTTTGATCCTGGACATCTTGGAGACTGCCAGGCTTCACCATCCATGCTTTACATGCACAGCACCATCTGCTGGTGGACACCTTGGAGATTCCACCAGGCTTTGCCATCCATGTTGCACATGCACAGCACCATCTGCTGGCAGACCTAATTTGATCTCCCCTCTGGATCAGTCACACATCTGGCTATAGACGTCTCACCCTCTTACCAATGAGCCTGCTTTTAAATTCTAAGATGTGAGTTACTACTTATCTTCCTATTAAATATCTTCGTGGTATACACTTTTGTATTAAACCTGATTAAGCAACCTTCCGGTGACTCTGGATTTTCTGACAGACTACTTCAGCAGAGGGAAGGTAGAGCACAGAGATTAGGAATCAAGCCCAGTGATCACTGACAGGCTGGGAATGTTGGACAATGATCTCTTTGTTTCCAGTAGAAACCAAATGTTGGAGAATTACTTCTTCCTAGAGAATATGCAACCTCCATGAAGGCATTCAATCTTATGTGTATGAGATCCTTCTCTCTGCAGTTCTTTTCTTTAGTTTATCCTCTGATTCTTTAAGTTAAGTGCAGTGGCTGTCAGAATAAATGACTGTAAATGCAGCTTTTTTTTCTACTTTTCTGTTTCCTTCCCCGTAATCAGGTAATTAAATCCTCTTATTAGGACTTGATATAAACACTATATATTTTTCTTTCTGAATTTTTAATATGTTAATGGTTCCCTTTTTTTATTCAGTGACTCCACAGCCATGGAATTCATCAAAACCACCAGACATTTCTGCAATTATGGGGTCAGCAGGGCGATCACCTCGATTGATACAGACACCAAGCCGTTTGCGGGACATTTCCATGGTGGGTGGACTATCCTTATTTTAGCATATTAAACGTCATGTTCGTTTGCCCTCCCTCTTCCATTTCAGTCATTGCATTGATACTTGCTAAGTATAACCCCAGTTCTAAATTTGCCAATCATTGCATTCTTTTTTTTTTTATGTAGATTTTACACAGCTTCCCAACTTTTTGGGAATTGGGGTTGTAAACATTTATTTTATGTGGTAACATTATGCTTTTGCAGCAACTTACTCTTAGTGAATTAAAATCCAACTCCAGGCCAAAAAAAAAATTTCCCAAGCAGTGGGGCTGGACCTGCGCTGCATGGGTTAACTGCTCACTTTGTTCAGGGGTGAACAGAAAGCTTCTTCTGACTTCACTCCTGCAGCAAACAGTGCTCCCCCTTGATCCAGCAGTGGGATGTTCCTGATGTCCTCACATTCAGAGCAGATGTATGGGCTTGATGACATCAGGAACTTTTTTTTTTATTTTTTTGCCCAAAGTTAGGCTTTAAATCTGAATAGTTTCTGTTGATTTACGGTACTTCATAGCTTATTTTGATACACCGTCTGAATTAAAAGAAGGTTTTCTGCAGAATTATACCCTTAACTGTTCATCAGGCTTTTTTATTTAGTGGTAAGTTGTCTGAGGCTTTTGCCTATTCCCCTTGTTGTACATTTGAAATAATCTCTGTAATATTAGGTAGATAGGATTTGGCCTCCCCCTTACATCTATGATTTAAATAATCTATGTCACAGGTGTCAAACTGTGGCCCTCCAGCTGTCAAGGAGCTACAAGTCCCATCGTGCCTCTGCCTTTGGGAGTCATGCTTGTAATCGTCAAATTTGTAATGCCTCATGGGATTTGTAGTTCTGCAACAGCTGAAGGGCCTCAGTTTGACACCTCTGATCTATGTGATAAGGGGAAGATATTTTATATTTTTGTTCTTTGGAAAGTGGCGTCACAAATTCTGTACCATTGTTTTTTCTCAGTCATTCTAAGAAATGATGTCCTAAATTGTGCTGCATTTGGTTTCTTGACAGGTTAGGAATGTGGATACTTTCTGACCTTTTTACTTAAAATTTTTGTTGGTTGCAGCTGTCCAATATGGAAGATAGTGCATACACAGCCTCCTTCTCCCCTCAGAGGACAGGAATGTATAGTGCATTTGATAGTCCTAGTTTCACTGAAGATATAACACTTAGTGCAGTTATGATGAAAGAAGAAGACCCAGGAGAAACTGGTAAGTGACAACACAGGAGCATTGCACATGTGTTTTGCTGTCTTACATCTTACCCCTGCCCATGTGTTTTATTTGCAGCCACAATGAGCCTGTATCAGGAATTTCTTAATTCATTCTTGAAGCTTCCTTCCAGTTCAGTGTTTGAGCTTATAGAAGAATATGAGACTATGTGCTGTGAGCAGGTAATTTTTGTGGCAATTATTGGGAGAGGGGTTCTAAAAGGTTAAAGAGTTTTGCCTATAATTCTACTTTAACTTTTATACTGTATATTTGTGATATTTTTTAGTGTTGCACTGCAGAGCAACTGTTTTGTCTACCCATCCACTTACAGGGCACAAGATAGTATTCTGAAAAACTGGCTAAACTGCCACCTTCAGGTGAATTGGACGAAGCAAAGTAACTATAGCCCAGTAAAGCCTTCTTTCATTACGACTAAGGCGCAGTAAGGGGCTGTACAACATCAACCTTTGCTGTATTGGATTCCCCCTTTGTCTTGATGCATTTGCAATAAAGGATTTACGGATTTTATACCGTATTCAAAGACCTTCATCTAATTGTACGTTACTGGACAGTGTGTGCAGCGGTGGTCCAGACACAGGTACTTTGTCCTATCCAGTAGCACATATTGACAGCACAGGTAGTAGCATCACTTTTGTTTATTTTGAAATCGGTGCAAGAAGCATTTCTTGAGAATGCCTTTCACGATCAAATCACTGAACTCCCTTATTGAAGAAATCACAATGAGGGAAGAGTCTGAAAAAGAGCTCCCCCACCCGCCCTTTTTTTTTTCTTTTCTTTTCTTCCTTTTTTGCTGCCCTTCAAGCAAGCCCTCCTCACAATGAGGAGGCACTCACACTTGTAAAAAAAGGGCGGGGGGACTTTTTTTTGGCCCTCACAGCCATCTGTCTGAGTCTGGAACTTTTGTACCTCGGGGCAACAAACTAGAATTTTGGTCACTATCTCCAGCCTGCTTCATGTTATCAAATCTGCCAATTTCCTCACAAAGATCAGTGATCTCAACACTGCTTTGGAGCAGCTCCTCTCCCAATGGGCCAGTTCTAGAGATGGCGAGATTCCAGTCTTTATTTTTTTCCCCAACGTGTTGATTGCCCCCAAAGTGAAGAGAGGTATCTGCTCCATAATGGATCTAATTCTGAGACAGATTTCTCTGGGTTCAAAAGTTTTTAAATCTCAGTCGGTCATTACTTTCCTCCCTATGCTCAGAAGGATGTGTACTTGCACATCCCTCATCTTCCTGGTGAATCAACCTGCATTTTGCTCTGTGCACACAACCCATTATTACTAATATTTTTTGTGGTTGTTTTCCTTTGGCCTGTTGACTGCACCTTAGGTCTTCACCAAGGTGCTTGCCCCACTATTACCTCAGGGCATTCCCATAGTGGGATATTTGGCTGACCTTCTGAGGGACCAATAGGCGCAATCCAGTCTCTCTGTTCCCACAACTTTGCAGTCCAGGTGCCTCCTTTTTAGCATAAGGGTGTTGGGCCTAATGGTTTCACCCTTCAAAGCAGTACCATATGCCAAATTTTACAACAGGCCATTGAATTCAAAATTCTGTAATCTCTGCATACTCCCATACACCTAACTAGGAAGACTGGGCTTACCCTGGCGTGGTTGGCCACAGGCTTGGTACTGGAATCGAGGAAAATCCTTTCTCCCAATGGTTTGGAAGGCTGTCATGATGGATGCTAGACTATTTAGACCGTGGAGGAGTCCTAGATAACTACCTGGTACAAGGGACTTTTGTCATGAGGGTGCTTGGCTCCCGATCAGTGTTCTGGATTTGGTTATCTTACCTTACACATTATTTTTTTTTTTTTCCATAAAGTTTATTAATAAACTCAGAGCATACAATAAGTACAGGTAATACAAGTTATCAGTCGGAAATACAATAGGAGGTAATGCACATACAGCGAACAAAAATATACATAGCAATACATAGACAAAGAATCAGACGTAAGTCATCCCAGGGAAAAAAAAACAGGGGAAAAATGAGAACATGCGAGCGCAGGAACATTAAAGGCATATCTGGTCTCAAGCCCTTATACAGCATATTGGAATCACAGCACTGGCAGGGTCAATGATATATAACCCCAGTTACCGAGCAGCAGCAAAGAGCAGGGCCAGTGAGTCAAAGGTATGCGTTGGAAATGTATACAGTAGGTGTGGAGGGGGGGGTGCAAGGGCTTGAAGGATATGGCCTTTTACTTTTGATGAAACTGAGGTAACCATCCTTTACACATTATACCTTTCGTCTGCATGGTCATTCGACCTGGAGTCAGTCAAACAATGCCACAACAGTGGCTTACATCAACCTTCAGAGAGGTATCTGCGAAGCAGCTCTGATTCTGGATTGGGCAAAATTACACGTTCCAGACCCGACCGTCATTCACATTTTATATATGGAAAATTAGCAGGTGGACTTGTCAGCTGCCAAACTACAGAGAATGGTGTCTTTGTTCAAAGGTGTTTTAAAACCTCTATTGCAGGTGGGAAACGCTAAATGTTGACCTCCTGAGTTCATTTTCAATAACAAACTAAACAGGTTTGTCTCCAGATCCAGGGATCCTCTGGCCTTCGCAGGGGATGCTTTGGTGACTCTGTGGATTTAGTTCAGCCTTACCCATGTTTTTTTTTTCCTTCCTCTCCTACTCTGCCCTCAATCTGAATCCTGCGATCTTGTAATTTGCATCGAATTGGTTCAAAAGGATGTGCGCCCTAACTTGATCAGAGCATACTTTCTCTGGGCCATCCAAGATTGTCCAGATCTTCTACCCCAAGGGCCAGTTTACAACCCTGCTTCTTAGCTGACTTTAACTGCTTAAAGTGGAGTTCCAGCCATTTTTTGTTTTATTAAAAGTCACCAGCTACAAAAACTGTAGCTGCTTACTTTTGTAATAAACACACACTTGCCTGTTCCGGAGTCCAGCAATGTACTCACCTGAGCAGTCCCTTCTCTCCTTCTGTCCTCCATGGCGCTGGCATCTCTACTGTGGGCACCAGGCTGTGACAGCTTTACAATCTGGTGCCCACTGCGCATGCGCGAGTCTCGCAGCTCCTCTTGATTGGTCCAGCAGTCTCCTGGGACCTTTGAAAGTTCCCAGGAGACTGCGGGAGCATGGAAGTGGGAGCTGGTACCTGTCAAAACCCGCTCCCCCTTCCCCCCCAAAAGGTGCCAAATATGGCAGTGGAGGGGGGAGGAGGCAAATAGGCGGAGCTTCCGCTTTTGAGTGGAACTCCACTTTAACTTTTGAAACCTAGTTTCTGATGGACAGAGGCCCTTCAGATTAAATAATTTCTTCTCCCTTGGAAGTTAAGAAATCAACTTCTGCAAAAGTCTACCAGACAAGAAAATTCCAATCCAGGAAGTCCTCAGTGGGACGAATCCTGTCTTCTCCAGTCTTTAGTACTAACAAGGGTCAAATTTCTGCCTTCAAGACCACCCTTTGCGTCTATTACGAATATTTCTCTGACTATCCCTGCTTGCAATGTTGCCTTTCCTGTTGCCAGGGCTGCTGACAGAGATGACAGCCCACCCCCCCTTTTGAAAAAATCTAATTATATTTTTGCTAACAATACACTGAAATTATTATTGGTAGAAACACACAACCTGCTTAACTACTTCAATACTGGGCACTTTTACCCCCTTCCTGCCCAGGCCAATTTTCAGCTTTCAATGCTCTCGCACTTTCACAATTGCACGGTCATGCAACTATGTACCCAAACTCAATTTTATTCATTGTTGTTCACACAACTAGAACTTTTGGTGGTACTTAGTCATCACTGGGGTTTTTATTCTTTGCTAAGTCACGGAAAACTACAGAAAATATTGAAATTAAAAAAAAAACATTCTTCTTTGTTTCTGTTATAAAATTTTCCAAATTCAGCTAAATGACACCAGTCCTTTAAATTCAATAAATGTCCCAATCAATACAAAAAGAACCAGTGCTCAAATACTATTAAAGTACTCCACTTGACAGTGCTCCTGTGCCCCACATGGATTTACACTCACCCTGTATTATTGACCACCTATCTCTAGATTGGTCAACAGCACTTATGGGGGCAAACCCCTAAGTCATCCGCTCCGGTGCTCTTTCAAAGTCGTGTGTTGGGAAGGCAAGTAGTTCAGATAGCGGTTCTGTTCTTGGGATAATTCAGTTTATCTATACATTCCAGGAAATAGGGAAATGTATGTGCTGCATTCCTTGCTATGATGGCAATCAGGACGCTCGGCTTCTGCAGGGGAGATTCAGCAACGAATTCTTCAATATTCAACTCCTTGCCTATTGCTGTTAATGTGTACTGTCATAGCTTCTGTTTTCAGTAATTTCAAGGCTCATTTATACTGGTTGCTTTACACTGGATTTTTCCTAAAGAGGTAAGCTGATACAAACATGCGGGTACCAAATTCAAAATAATATCAACAGGTGGTGGAAAATATCACCATTCCAGTGGTGGCTGCATTCACTTTAACTTTTCAGTAAGAATGTTTTCAGCAGGTACAGAAAATAGACATGAAGTACCATTGTCTCTTTCCTGTGAGCTCTCCATAGGCTCACTAATTCTGTTCTTCTGAGGGTACAGAAGGGGCTTGGACAGCAGGTGAAAGGGAGGCTCCAAGGGGACACAGACAGCAGGGGGGTGGGGGTGATCAGATTCGTTGGGGGGGGGGGGGGTACTAGAACCGATCCCCATACAGTGATGCAGTGCTGCTGGCTTCTCTTCCTCTCCCTCCCTGTGGCTACACTGCAGGAGGAGCCACAAGAGGATCGATGTCAGCAGTAGGGCAGTACACCCGGGCCTCCTCTTGGCAGGTGCCTGGGTCCCCCTTTTGAACTGATGGGGCCTGGGCCCAGTACAAAAAGACTAGCTGTACTGCCTTATCAGTGGCCCTGCCTGCAGCCATCGTTTCTGGTAAGGCAGTTTTCTGAGTTAGGGGCCCTAACCTGTAAAGAACCATTTCTTGTGCTATTCAAGGACAAGGCTGGTTTTGAGGCCCAGGGCCTCTTTTCTTTCTAAGGTGGTTTCTTCCTTTTATCTTGACCAGGACAGGGAGCTTGCAGCCATTGCATTGCTTGAGTCAAGGTGAATATTTGGGGACTTCCATTTTAACACTATTTTATTCCTCTGTTTACTGTTGCCCACCCCTCAGACTGATTTTTGGATCTTCTAGAATACTATCATGTTTCCTATAATTTATGACTGAAAAATAAGATTTTTTTTTTTTTTCCTACCTGTAAAATCCTTTTCGTTCACTATTATCATTGGTTGCTACTAAACTGAGGCATGCTGGATGTGGGACGGGTTATACAGGACTGTCCGTACAGCTTTGCTTTGCCAGTGTCTAATTCTGTCGAAGATGACAGTGTTTTAGTATACTATTCTGTGCCCTATAATGTATTCTAGGAAAAGGATTTTACAGGTAGGACAAAACTGTTTTCTTGTGTCACAGGAGTATCTAATTGTGGAAGTTTTAGAAAAGATGCCTTTTTGTTCGGTTACATGCGCCCACATGGATGCCAAATTGGAAACAGCAGCTTTGTCTGTGCTGTTGCTGCATCCCAATAGACATGAATTGTAACCTAATATATTTTTTTAGGTCAGTTTACTTAAAAAGATTGTGAGCCGTGTCACTCCAGGACAGCAGAAGTTTTCCAAAACTGCCAGTGTTCTATGGCTTCTGCGACAAGAAATGGTAACTTGGAGGCTCATTGCATCACTTTACAGGTTTGTCCTTCATCACTTACACTATTTTTAGGATGTTTTTTTTAATTATCTACAACTGCCTATATTGCTAGCAGTAGTCATATTCAGCTGGCCTTGTTCAGTACTATTAAACCCAGAAAATGTTAGGGTTCACATCAACAAGTCATTGTTGCAAGTATTTTCTGTATAAATTTAAAATCACTCTACAAATTACAATTTCATGTAGATAAACATGTATTTTCCCAAATTCTCCCAAATTATTTTTGAAAATTGGTTACATTTGCAGTTCCTTGCCCATGTAATCACCCCCTTTTTTATCATGTGATGTACTCAATATTTTTTTTTCTGTCCACCCTTCCATCAAGCCCGCTCTGGAATGTCACATGGTAAAAAGCCCTAAATTATCAATTTTAATTCCAGGTTGTAACTCAACAAAATGGATAAAGTGAATACTTTCGCAAAGCACTGTAAAATCTACAAAGGAAAAGGGATATTGTGATATAAAGTGGCATAGAGAAATAAATGTCGTCTGCCATTTTAACCCTGTAAATGCTGCACCACCGCACTGTAACTGTATGCGTTGCTCACCCTAGGCAAAATATGTTTATATGCCAATAATAATCTCAATATGGATGTGTTGAATCACTAGTGAATTTCTAAAATTTTCAGTGGTGAAATTTTCCCTCAATAGTTTGTGTCTTTGCCCCCTTCTATTATGAATGTATCACTCTCTCCCATGTAGTCCCCCTAGTTGTACACCAGTCCTAATTTATTGGGTGGCCTGCTTGTAATGGCTGCTGCAGTTGGGTGGTACTGGGAATACTGAAGTAGGTAATATGTAACTAGAGACCTTGACTGATATAAGCAGCCACAGAATTTGAATAAGCAAAACCTAAATGGGTTTTAATTGCAAGTTTCTTGCACCTTGCAACCCCTTCTTTGTCTGAACTTAAACTGGTTGATAAATAAAAAAAATCAATTTCTTAATTTGTGCTTTCCAGAGATCGGATACAGTGTGCAACAGAGGATGAAAATATGTTTGATATTGCAGTAAGTTGTCCATGTTCCACATTTTCAAATCCCTGCTGTTTGATGCTACAGTGCTATTAATCTTATACAGTCTCTAGTCCTAAGGGTAAACAAAATCTTGTTCTGTAGGTTTCTTTTTCTTAGCACTGATTAATGGGTAGCCTGATATCCTTGTTCATGGTTTTTTTTTGTGTTTGGGATTTGTTGATTGTGCTTGCAGTTATGTATTCCTCTCTCATGTACAGGCACCAAATGCTAGTGAAAAGATGATAATGGATAAGCTGTTTGAGCGAGATTCACTTGTTCGTCAGAGCCAGGTAAGGTATTAGTTGGATGAAGAGACATCAAGAAGGTAGTGTGCTATAACAAGTTTAATGAATAGACAGACATTGGTTAGTACAGCTGCAGTGTTTTATTTGAAACCTTTACTGTTCTGTTTCTCAAGGTTTTGTACAGATCCCCAGGGACCAAACATTTGCCCTGTATTGAACAAAGTAACATAAAATGATTCCTAGAGTATTATTTACTTTGCCTGCTTATAAAGGCTGTTTATTTTGTCTATTTTAAAGGGAATCTGGAGGAATAGCAATATGAGAGCTGACGTTTCTGTTTTTGGCTTTTGTTTAATTCAATACCAGACACTTTCACCCCCTTCCTGGCCAGGCCAATTTTCAGTTTAGGTGACAATTGCGCGGTCATGCAACACTGTACCCATATGAATTTTTATTTTTTGTTAACATATGGTCACCAGTGCAGTACAGTGTCATCATATAACTGGTGTGGCAGTGATCAGGGACACTGACTGGTGACAGTATGGGGAAAAAAACAAAATTGTGGGGGGAGGGGGGTTCCAAATGTTTTTTTTTAATGCACTGTGACCAGAGCAATATAATGTTACCATAGTAATATTGTACTACTCTGGGGAAGTGATCAGGATTTTTACACATTGATGGCTTATAGCAGTGAATTTCTCTGCCATAAGCAAGTATTTTAACTGAATGAAATAGATTCATTCAGTGTGTATTATTGTGATTAGTTATGATTGACCACAAGTAATCACATGGTATAGATGGGCTGTGATTGGCTCTGTCTGTACAATGTGATCACTATGACCTAACACAGCTGCCAACACAATTGTACACAATGAATGGCATGAATCAAAGCCATTCATTGTTTACAGTTGTCATGTGATCTGCTGTGATTGGTCACAGCGATCACATGGCACTGGCAGCAGACCGGTATAGTAATCTGTCATCAGCTGTGTCCGATGAACACAGTCAATTACAGATCACGCCCACAGCATGGCCAAGTGAAGTCCACTCAGAACGATGAAAGTCCAGCCCAACCTATTGCAAAATGAGGTTAAGGTACAAGCTCCAAGCTTGTTACTTTCCTACTAGTTTCATAGCTTTAGGAACCACTGATGTGCAAGGTGGATAGAGGGAGGATATACCTTTTTACAAATAGCAGGCTTGTTCCAGGTAGTGATGTTTGCCCTGAAACCCGCATCTTGAAGTGAAAGTGTAACCAGGCTCCAGATATTCAAATATTAGCAAACAGTGGATTAATTTTAAAACAAGCACTCACTGATCTCCGTAGCTGTAGGCACTGAGGACTAATTTGTCTTAAAAGTTTACAGCAGAGGCCACCTCAGTTGGCTCTCTTGGCACTCTCAGCAGCTCAGCCACACTGATAGCTTTTGTTTTGGTACACAATGTGCTTAGGTGTGACAAACTGTCACAAAATGATCACAAAGAGAGAGAGAGTATAAAGTAGGGTGAGCTTTCTCGCTTTGCTTTCTGCTGGTATACCAACATAATATGGATGTATGAACCCTACACGCAGCTTAATTCTTTGTCTATAAATGTATGCACCAACCTTCATCTGCATATATGTATACAATTCTGAAATTTCAGAAATCTTACCTGTTTTTTTCTGTTTCCAGTTGGTAGTGGACTGGTTGGAAAGTATAGCTAAAGATGACGTTGGGGACTTCTCTGAAAATATTGAGTACTATGCTAAGGCAGTATACTGGTATGTATACAAAGGGTTTTGTATTAGGTGTACCAGTGTTACTTGATTGTAATATTATAAAATGTTTTAGTCACAGTCAAACACAATATGACTTATTTTACGAAGCATTACATGAAAGTTAAATATTTGTGTTCCTTCTGTGCAAAGGAAACTCGCTGAGGGACATTTGTCAAAACTGTCTTACTGTTTGTGGCAGCTAAACTTTTTTTTTTTTTTTTTTTTTTTCCTGACGCAAGTTAGAGATGGGTTTATTTTCTTTATGCAATTTGTGTGATAAATTAGCCACTGAAATAGATGTCCTCCTTAACACTTCTGCTGCAAGTACTACAGTTGAATTTCATCTCTAAATAAGCACTCACTATTATGGCAGAGAAAATAGGTAGATATTTGCTATTTTGTTGCATACTTACTCAAAGTTAAAACTGTCATTTGGATCATAAAACAGACTCAGATTTATGCTAATATTTTTTGTTGATGAGCAACTGTGCTGCAACCTTGTCCTTAGCAGCAGCCTAAATTGTTGAAAATGTATTTGATCATACAAGACACAGGCTACTTTAAATCGTTATGAGTTTTTTGCAACTACCTTCAGGTGATTGAACATTTACAAAAGGCTGCATGGGCATCCCACTTTAAAACCCCTCTCACTCTTAGCCGTCCGGTGATGGACCTCTTATCTCTACTGAAAAAAAGCATACTTTCTTATGTGGAGTTTCTTGCAGGATGATTCTTTCATCACTCAGCCGCACCATAGCCACTGCAGCTTTTTTTTTCCTGGTTCTTATCTCTGTAAGAATACAGCTGTCTTACATTGGTTAGTAAGCATAGATGTTAGGAGGGGGTGGGACCGTTTTAAGAATAGTTAGAGTTGAGCCCTGAATTCCACTTTAACCACTTGCCTACAGGGCACTTATACCCCCTTCCTGCCCAGGCCAATTTCCAGCTTTCAGTGCTGTTGCACTTTGAATGACAATTTTGCGGTCATGCAACACTGTACCCAGATTACATTTTTATCATTTTTTTTTTGTGACAGAATGATGGTATTTAATCACCTCTGGGTTTTTAATTTTTTCTTAAACCAAAAACCACTGAAAATTTTGGGAAAAAAAAGTTTTTTCTTAGTTTTTGTTATAAAATTTTGTTAAGTGATTTTTCTCCTTCACTGATGTGCGCTAATGAGGTTGCAGTGATGGGCACTGATAGGCTGCACTGGTAGGTGGCACTGATGGGCATTGACAGGCATCACTGACGGCACTGAAAGGCAGCTCTCATATATGGCACCGATAGGCGGCACTGATATGCAGCACTGACGGACACTGATAGGTGGCACTGATGGGTGCAACTGAAAGGTAGCTCAGATGGGCACTGATATGTGGCATTGATGTAGCACTGAAATGTGGCACTGATGGGCACTGGCATGTGGCATGGATGAGCACTGAGAGCTGGCACTGATGGACACTGACAGGTGGCACTGCTGGAGCTACACAGATCATCAGGGCACACTGATCCTCAGTGCTCTGATGATCTGTGTACCTGTCCCCTCCAAGGAATGCCGATTACCGGCTCCCCTCTCCTCACGAGCTGTCAGCGTGACAGCTCGTGGGGAGAGAAATGCCGATTAACCGGCATATCCCTATTTACATGTGATCAGCTGGGATTGGACACAGCTGATCACATGACGGAGCCGACATCTTCGGCTCTTTCCGTGGATCGGAGATCTGCTGTGTCTGAGGGACACAGCGCACCGGCGATCGACGTGCTTCGGGAGCCGCGCATTCACGGTTAGAATGGGAGGACGTCATACAGTATGACATCCTCCCAGAACGAGAGAACCACCTTGTGTCTGTCATATTACTATATGGCGGGCGGGAGGTGGTTAAAAGCTATGTCCACCATTAGCAACATGTTACACCTGTATTTAGGGTGCAACATGTTGCTAAGTACCCCAACCCTCACCCCCCACACACCCTGTGACAACAGGATAGGGTTCCTGTTCCCCCACAGCCACTGTCATTTTTAAAATCAACAATGGAAATGGACTTGTTCTTAATGGACTTTGTGCTGATTAGAGCACTCGTAGTCAGTTGACACTTCCTACAGCTCAATAACTGAATCTGTACAGGAGTAAGAGCTGATAGCTGTAGGAAAGGCGTGCAGGAGCTTGACATTGCACCCGCAATCAATGGTTATTGATCGCTAGATATTGATATTTTACAGGCTGTGTAAAAAATAAATAATAAACACACTTTTGTCTGCAAGAACATGTGCATTTAAAAAAAAAATAAAAATTTCTCTTAAAGGTCAACGTAGCCTTTAAGGGTTCCTCTGTCCACTGTAAGATGGAACTTTTGCCCCCTACCAAACACTACTGCGTGAATTACTTGGTAGACACACTTTTTCACATTTCTAGAATGTGACTTCTCTCTAGATGCTAAGTCCAAGACAGAAAGATAATTTTAGAAGAAGATATGGCTTCTAAACAAGCTAAAACTGTAGTCAAGACCTCAGTGCAGTGATGTGCCTCCTCTTCTCAAAACATTGGAAACGTCTCTTGGTCTTCTGATTTCTGGTCCTTGAACATCTTGGACACCTGGGTCCAAACTGTCATTTCGATTGGGTATGAATTGCAGTTTCACACTTTACCTCCTCCCCTCTTCATGCTCTACAACTTGTCCTTTCAAGAGGAAAGGGATGATTGACCCTGCAAAGCCTCTGACAGGGGCTTTGCAGGGTCAGTCATCCCTTCCCTCTTGAAAGCTAGGAAGTTGACTTCTCGTAAAGTCAGTCATCATACCCGGAAGGTCTATTTGCTTCGGTGAGTTGAGAAATTTTCATCTTAGAAAATACTCCGTAGGATGTATTCTGTGTCCTCCTTCCAGTCTAGTCTGGATCAACATGTATTCTGTGTCCTCCTTCCAGTCTGGTCTGGATCAACATGTATTCTGTGTCTTCCTTCCAGTCTGGTCTGGACCAGCATTTGGCCTTGACAAATCTCAGCTTTAGAAAGCTGTTTTAGAGAACCTTTGCCTCCCGCTCTGTGGTTAAAGCCTTTGTTTAGTGTGACTCTTGCATCCCATCCAGTTTGTTCTCCTGTATCCCTCTCGGACCTCAGTGTGATTTTCTTGGCTATTCACAGGCTGCCCTTTGAACCTATGTGGGATATTACCTTACCTGTCTATCCTTTCCCGTAAAGTTGCTTTTCTTATGATCATTACCTCTACAAAGGGAAGTCTCTGAGTTTGCAGCCATATCCTGTAAGGAGTTTTTCTTCGTTTTACACAAGTGCAAAGTTATCACGAGACCTTAGACATCCTTTCTTCTGAAAGTGGTCTCTGCTCCTTTTGAAAACTGGATTCTTTGGTTGTGCTTCCTTGAGAGCTGTGACTGTCTCCTTGTCTCTGACTTCACCATTAAAGGTGAATTAGGCAAGTGATTTTTAGGCAAAGATAATGGGGACACAAAGACAGAGGGGCAGGTAGGTGTCAGTGTTTAAAAAAAAAAAAAAGTTTTCATACAAATAAAAACATCCACTTACACTGTGGTCTAAGGATGTCAGCTTATCAGCATGAAAAAGTCCATTCACATAGTTGTCTTGAGGCATCAGTATAACAACATGAACTAGATAATTGTTTATTTGCATTGGTAACTCATGGGTTTGCCCTGTATATTTTTACCCTCATTAACTGCATTGTTTGCTTTCTGTAACGACTAATTTTGTGAGAGAACGCGGTATTGAATGCTGTTTATTGTACTTTTCCTTTGGAAAATGGGACAAATAATTTTGTGTCATGTTGTATGTTATGTATCACCACTGTTTTCTACTTTTGTTTCTTGAATAATTACTAAGTGAAAGAAATGGATAGTAGCACAGCTCCAGAGAGAGCAACACATTGGAGCTCAGCAGGATCTGAAGCTTGACACTGGCCGGTTTCCAGACAAAGCCAGCACCAGCACAGTGGAATCAGCTCTTCCCTGCAAGAGTGCTACGCACAGTTGCAAAGGAGCTCACGTGCAGGCCAGGGGTAATCGGGCTTTTCCAAAAAATCCACCCTTATCTCAAGCCGGGTTTCACAAAGGCAATTGAGAATTTTAAGGACTGGATTGCGGGTCTACAGGAACTGACCAGCAGAGGGAGCTTGGAGCTAATCTTCCACAAGCTACTAGAAGGGAGTAGCAGAGAATTGTATTAAAGTAGCCGCCAAAGCTAGTTTGGCTGTACTTTTCCTGTCGATCCCAGGAGTGCAGTTTGTTCTACACTCCTTTTGACCCATTTTCAGCCAACAGGGGGGCTAAAATACACTGTCGGCTGATGTTACTCAGCCAGACCAGGCTGTGGAAAGATCCTGACTTTAAAGTCAGGATCCACCCAGATGTCTGGAGCCTTAGCCAGTCACTCCTGCCCCCTCCACAGCCCAGCACATCAGTGAGCACTGGGGGGAGGCAGAATAAAGAGTGGTCACTGATGGCTCTCTGATCAGTGCGGCCGGGAGAACTGAGCATCTGATCGTTAAGTTCTCGCCCTCGGATCAATGCTGCATCCACTTAAGTATGATTAAAAAAAAAAAAATATATATATATATATATATATATATATATATATATATATATATATATATATATATATATATATATATTTTTTTTTTTTTTTTTTTTTTTTTTTTTCCATACCTCTCTTTTAATAAATACAGGCTATAACACCATAATACCAAATCTCAATCTTACCAGCAGCAGTGAAAAAGAAAAGCTAAACAAATGAGAAAACTTTGAGTTGTATCATCATTGTATCATAGTTCTCATTTTCTTTATGAAGACCTTTTGGGAATCTAGTTATTACCTCCATAAGGATTCCCTCTTGTCAAGTTTTTTTTTTTTAACACTCAACAGGAGAGAGATTTTTTTTTTTTATGTGATCTCAAGAACCCATACAACAAGCTAATTTGTAGAGGAGTTGTTTCTCCACAAAATGTCTGGATACACTGTGGTCACAATTGCCATGTCTG